CGAGTCTCCTGCCTCTGCCTCCCAAGTAGCTGGGACCACAGGCCTCCTTGCTATTTATAGGAAACATTCCAGGCACATTGTCACTTAAATAACTTGGACTTTTGCCATTCCTTGTGCCTCAAACACTCTCCCCTCAATGAGTTATGGGGCTTATTTCCTCATCTCCTGCAGGGAGGACTTTCCTGACTATCAGTACTACGTCTGTAGTCCTGCAATGCCAGTTTCTACTCCCCAACATTCTTCCTTGCTTTATTTTTCTTCCTATGCACTTAGTATCTGACTTATTATATATTTTACTTACTTGTTTACTGTTTCTCCCCATTAAATTGTCACAGCCAGGGACTTTTTAAAATATGTCTTAGTCACTGCTATATCTCTAGCTCCTAGAACTGTGACTGGAATGTAGTAGGCACTTAACAAATATTTACTGAATTAATGAATAAAACATTATCTCATTAACCCAAACTGAAAGGACTAGGGCATGTCAATTCCTTCCTTCCCTTCATATACCACACATTTGGTCTGTGATTACATCCACTGGATCTATTATTACATCAATCCTGCTTCCCACACACCCTGGTTCATTATCTCTCATCCAGTTTGATGCAAAAGCATTATATTTATTATTCATGCACCCTCCATGTGCCAAGCAGGTTGTTAGATCTTGGAAATATGCAGGTGAACATAACCCAAATCCTTTTTGTACCAGTTGCTAGAATACTCAGGAAGTCCTGGTTTTATTTATATTTTTGGTTCATCAAAGATGTGACACTGGATAAGTAAGTTCTCTGAACCTCAGTTTTGTCACTTGTAAAATGAGGATAATTCCTATCTCTTTGGGTAGCTGAAACAATTAAATGAGACAAAAATACCTAGCACAGTGTCTTACATATAAAAAAAGGATAAGGAAGGGAATGGCACAAGCTTGCTGAACAGAAACCTCCAGTGATAGTCTCTCCTTATGAATACCTAATTCAACAACTGTCCACGCAAGAGAGCACCTTCAGAAGGAACAAAAATCAGGTGAGCAATCATACTACCTCGTTTTAACAGTATATCAAGAAAAGAGGCACTAAAGAGAGGAGAAAAGACAGTCTTGCATTGCCTACACTATCCCTCCCCTACCCCCTCAACCCCCAGCAGTGTCATTCCAGAATGCTGAGTGGAAAAGGAATCTGTGTGCCCAGAGGAAGGAGAATGAAGTGACTGTGGGACTTTGCATTGAAACTCAAGGCCACCCGGGCACAGGGAAACCAGCAAGGGCAGGATTCTGCTGGTGCCACAGAGGGAGCATTCTGACCAGATCAGCCAGAGGGCAATCTTATCCCCCTGGAGCCTGAGTTTCTATTAGCCCCACCACTGGCAGAAAAAGAGCAGCTTTGCAGCCTGGACTAAATTCATAAGGCTGCTGGGCCACAGGGATGTAGTCCTTGGGCAATTCCTGTGGCTTACTGGCTTGCAGCTGGTGGACTTGAGTGCATAAGACCAAGTGAGACTCCAGCAGCTGGGGCTAAGCCAGTGCCTGTGTCACTCCTCCCCATGCTGTATCTACAGGCAGCATGACTTAGTAAGAATATTCTTCCACTTGAGGAAGGGAAAGGGAAACACTCAGAGGACTTTATTTTGCAACATGGCCACAGCAAAATAAGTACCAACAAGACTCTTAAGGCCTAGGCCTTAGTTCCTAGATGGCATTTCTGGACCCACTCTAGGCCATAAGAAAACATGCTGCCTTGAAGGAAAGGCCCAGTCCTGGCAGAATTCACTACCTGCTGACTAAATGGTCCTTGGGTTTTAAGTAAACATCATAAGTAGCCAGGCAATGGTCACTACTGGCTTTGGGTGAGACTGGGCGCTCAGGTATGATTTGGTGCTGGTGGCCATTAGGGAATACCAACATCACTCTTTTCCCAACTCCAGCAGCCCAGTACAAAGAGTGAGGGAACAGAGTTGAGAAACTCTGCCTCGTAATCCAGAGAATTCTGTTGTATCTTACCCATACTCACCAAAAGTCTGAAAGAATCACAGCACTACTAGACATGGGGCAGCCCCAGTGCTGATACAGTTATAGTGACCAGAAACTTAGACCATAACACTCAATTCTATTTGAGGAGCTTAAAAGCCTTCCCAAGAAGGAAAGGTTCAAACTAGTTCAAATTAGTCCAAACTTTGAAGATTAAAAGAAATGCCTAACTCTTCGATGCCCATATACTGGTGAACATCCACAAGCATCAAGAACATCCAAAAAGACAAGACCCCATAAATAAAATAAGGTATCAGGGACCAATCCCAGAGTGATGGAGACAGGTGACCTTTCAGACAATTCAAAATAGCTGTCCTGAAGAAGCTCAATAACCTGCAAGACAACACAAAGGAGGAAATCAGAACACTATCAGAGAAATTTAAGAGATTGAAATAAAAAAAAAAAGCAGGAATTCTAGAGCTTAAGAATTAAACTGACTAGTGCAAAAGAATTCCTGGCTCTTTCTCTTGCACAGCTGACTTGCACCATTCTGCTGTTGCTATATAGAGTTCAGGAACATGAGGGAAACAAAAATTAAACTGACAAACTGAGAAATGCATCAGTCTCTCAATAGCAGAACTAACCAAGCAGAAGAGAGAATTAGTGAGCTTGAAGACACAGTACTTAAAAACACAGTCAGTCATAAGAGAAAACAAGAGAAAAGAATAAGAATGAAGCATACCTACAAGATCCAAATAGCTTCAAAAGGACAAATCTAAGCGTTATTGGCCTTAAAGAGGAGGTGGAAAGAGAGGCTGAGGTAGAAGTTTTAGTTAAAGAAATAAACCTAGAGAAAGAAATCAACATTCAGGTACAGGAAGATGACAGAACGCCAGATTTAACTCAAACAAGGCTACCTCAAAGCATTTAATAACCAACCTCCCAAAGGTCACAGATAAAGAAAAGGTCCTAAGGGAGGCAAGAAAAGAGAAAAAATAGATATAAAGGAGCTCTCACATGTCTGATAGCAGACTTCTCAGTAGAAACCTTATTGGGCAGGAGACAAATTCAAAGTGCTGAAGGGGAAAAACAAAACAACAACAAAAATTTAACCTTAGAATATTATATCCTACAAAAATACGCTTCAAACATGAAAGCGAAATAAAGACTTTCCCAGACAAACAAAAGCTGAGGGATTTCATCAACACCAGACCTATCCTACCAGAAATGATAAAAGAAAAGAAATGATCTGAAAGAAAAAAATGTTAGTAAACAATAAGAAATCATATCAATGGCTCGGCGCCTGTGGCTGAAGTGGCTAAGGTGCCAGCCACATACACCTAAGGTGGCGAGTTTGAATCCAGCCTGGGCCTGCCAAACAACAATGACGGCTGCAACCAAAAAATAGCCGGGC